AACACCACACAGCCACTCGCTCACTCCCCTCCACCAGTGGGATGGAGGAAAGAATCGGCGAAAAAAAAAAAGTAAAATTCATGGATTGCGATAAAGACAGTTTAATAGAACAGAAAAGGAAGGGAAAATAATAATAATAATAATGATAAAATATACAAAATAAGTGATGCACAATACAATTGCTCACCACCCGCCGACTGATGCCCAGCCAGTTCCCGAGCAGCAGTCATTGCTCCCCGGCCAACTCTCCCCAGATTATATACTGAGCATGACATCATACGGTATGGAATACCCCGTTGGCCAGTTTGGGTTAGCTGTGCCCCCTCCCAGCTTCTTGTGCACCTGGCAGAGCATGGGAAGCTGAAAAGTCCTTGACTACTATAAACACTACTTAGCAACAACTAAAACATGTGTGTTATCAACATTATTCTCATACTAAATCCAAAACACAGCACAACACCAACTACTAGGAAGAAAATTAACTCTATCCCAGCCGAAACCAGGACAGAACTAAACAGACAGCAGTTCCCCCAGCTGGGAAAGCCCAATGTGAAATACCCCATAGCTTATGTTCCCCTCTCTGCCATTCAACTTTCCTACTAACTGCTATGCTGACAACTCACATCATCTGCTACTCAAAGCATGGAGGAAAAAACCCTTCTGGATGAAAGAAAGCTAACTCAGCTTTAATTGCATGAAAATGAAGCAGAGTTTGCTGGACAGAGGGGAGGCCTTTTAGATCAATAATTCTTTAAAACAAGAAAATACTTATACAAGAAAAAAGTTTGAGGCGTGGTTATTTTGAGGCAGATGTTATACCATATATATATGTTTCAAGGATCAGCAATAGCAGCAACGCAACCAGCATCCCACAAAGGAAAGGAGAGGTAAGAGCAAAACACAACAGTGAACAGTGTCCAGATGTGAAATACACTACACAAGCAGACTGTTTTCAAACACTTCAAACACTGCATAAGTTTGCTAACTATTGTGGGTTGCAAGACAAGAAGTGGAACTTCAGTAACAAATCAAAAAGTCCAAGACTAATTGTAGACAACAATTTGTATTTGTATTTGACCACCTCTCCTTACACTCCACTCCCAGTCACACCGGTGAGCAAAAATCATTGTAAGTTATATTGTACTTCCCTAGGAAAGATCTGGGAGCATTCAAAAATGTACAGGGAAAAAGATAAAAATCAAGCACTGAAATAAATTCCTGACTAACATCACCTAATTCAGTAGCTAGGCTATAAAGAGCCACATCTCTGCACTGCATTACTCCTGCCTGTCTATGTTCTTTACAGCAATTAGCACTTCTGCTGAAGAGCTGAATGCCCTCGACTGGGTTTGCTCACAATGCAACAAAATTGGTCCTTCCTACATTTCCTGAGCAGCAATAAATTAATCCATTGCATTAACCTAGAATGTCATGCAGTGCTGGCAGAGCGTGCAGGTTATCCCTGACCACCCACACAGCTCAAGTGTATGTTGAGATACAAAGATCAAGATCAATACCTTTAACAAGCCAAGTCATACCACTTAATCACCCTAAGCATGGCATCTCCACAAGCTAGCAGGTGGTTCCAGATTCCTTGGCCTCTGGGCACCTGCTGCTACACAAGCTTAAAGGAAGCTCAAGGCCACTCATCCATTCAGCTAGTGATAGAGCCACTTACTGTGCATTTCCTAACCCCACTCTAAACTGACCTTCTTCTTCTCCTCCATCCCAAGAAATAGAAGCGCCAGCCACTAAGTGGCATGAATGTTGAAAGAGTCGTAGAAGAAACAAGTCATCCTTATCGCTGACAGAACTGTTTGCCACGCTCCCTACCCTCTCCCAAGCAACACGACATTGTTTTACCCTCTTTGCTAGGCAGATTCTGAGAATAAATAAGCTTGCTTCAATAGAGAAGTCTATGAGTCTGAAGCACTGTAGGAAAAAAAAAAAGATTAAAAAAGAATTTAAGCACAATTTTCCCTTTTGTATCTTGATGACTGGGCAGTGCTGTAACACAAGAGCATTGTCCTGACCCCAGGTGGTACATCAAAGTTTACCATAAGCTGACTATTGTGCTCAGATACCTTCAGCCCAATAGAAGGATAATGGATCTAATAAAAGCCCAAGTTCATGTTTTTAACTGCACTGGGGGAGAGGAGAAAGCAAGGAGGGGGCATAACATACCCCAGCATGAACTCATCATATTTCTCTTTGCACTTGCTTCGTAAAACCACCGTAATCTGCAAGGACTTACATTTCTGTTTTTTGGAAGAAAAAAACAAACAAACAAAACAATCCTGCAATAACAAGTAGTTGCTCAAAAAAGGTAATTAAACTGATCAGGGAAACTGCCATGAAGGGAGATTAGAAGAATGAAAAGCTTGAGAACATTTACTTTGGGGAAGAAGCAAATACAGAGACAAGACAGCAAGTAGGGAAGGTAAGAGCACAGAGCAGGGAAATCAGGAATTCCATCTTTTCAGCTCTTGCACTGGGAAACTACATCCAACAAACTGACAAATTCAGAACAAACCCAGGGAAAACACTTTCACACAACATATCTACTTGGTGAGCACTGGCCCAGGAAGCTGCTACAGCTCAGAACCATCCTCTTCTCCCCTCCATCTCTCCATGATTTTAAGTTCAAGAATATCTATAGTTGCATTTTTAAAGAGCTTTCAAAAATTAAGAGATCAGTTTAAATCTGGATAAGCAAAGCTTAACTGTTACAGGTCCAGACAAGAACTTGTTTGGGGAGAGATTATTCCAAAATTGCCCAGAGGTTGATTCTTGCACTGTCCTCTAAAATATCAGACACTAATCACTTAACCCGTGCTCCTTAAATCACATACAAGTTTCCTAGAGGGGCTACAGACTTCGGGAGCACAACTAAAAAGACACAGTACAGAGGCTTATTTCAAAGCCCAGGCTAATAATCTGCCTTCTGGGGTACACAGAAAAGGAGAACTACTCACAGACTACCATGTCTGAGTATGAAAAGGAAGACCTTAAACCAGTCGAGGCATTACCTGGTTTGGGCTGGAGAACAGTTCATCGTCAGGTTCCCTCTACATTTTTGCATAATCTCCTGGCCTAATGTCTCACTATTAAAGCAGTTATTTTTATAGGCCACGGCCAAGTTTGTCAGTTGGAGCCATTTAATGCCTGTGTTGCTGTCTATAAAATGCTACAAGGCAAGTCATGAAAAGTCTGTTTACTGACAGCAGGTATGGGAAGACCTCAAATTCCTGTCTTCATCCCAGACATTAATGAACAGTATTTGCTACATGATGTCAAGACCTAACGTTTGCTTTCACAACAGACCTATACACAAGCCTACAGAAGGACTCACACTAGATCTGGTCACAAAATCGGAAGCTTAGGAGACCTGACAACAGCAATTCATTGCAGTATTACCTGTAACAAGAAAAATCATTGTGAGGAATGGGTCAGCCAGAGATTTAAAATACGCAATTAGATGTACTTATCTAAAATTACATGCCAAGTCTCCACAGCATATCTTTCTGAACCTAACCCTTTTAGCTGGAATTGGCAATTACTCAAAGACTAACAATCTCAATTACTACATCATGACGATACAGTTAGGAATACAACTGAGGCAGAGTAGTATAGACAAGCCACATAAAAGGCTTGAAAAGAGTATCAAGGGTTGGTATCAGGACAAAAAGACCAACTGTGAAAAAGGAAGAGATCTCGAACTCCTACACTAGCATGAGCCATAAGAGGATTTGAATGCAGGTCATCTTAAGAGTCCTACAAGCAACCTTTCACAGGTGCACTAAAATGTGACAACTTGGATGGAGCCTTTCCTCTTTACAAGAGCAGATTTGCAGATACCTATAATGATAAAAATAGCATTAGTCACTGGATGGAAACTGGAACCATGGTTCAAGTGACTTGCTGAAAATCATACAAGTGTAGACCTAGCTAGGACTCCTGAATTCTGTCTCTGTTCTACTTTCTAATTGCAATCACCAAAACAAGTGCCTGAGGTAACGCTACAGAAGCTGTCAAGATGCAAGTGGACAGACAGACAGGTAGGATTAAAAAAAATCCTAGAGAGTTGCTTTAAAAGGAAAGGTGGTACAAGGTCTCACCTCCCCACCTTTCCTCAACCCCTGCCAGCTAATGTTTACTATGGAAAGTTTTACCCAAGAGAGCTTTCTCACTTTTAGTGAAGACACCTCAATGTTCACAGGAATGCATATTTCTGCCTGCCTTAAATCCAGGGACCTTCCACATGTGAGGTGAATGTGACAGCTGCTGCACTATAGAAGCACCAGCTCACACACAGAGGAAAGGAGAAGACGAAGCCCATCAACATACAAGCCAGATAAGAAAAAGGAAATTTTAGTTACCGCGGCTACCTGCCAGAAGCTGTTTTCCATTGAGAAAATCCTGAGAAAAGAGGCACACAGCAGAAGAAAATTACAGAGCTACAGCTCCAAAGGACTACCTCCTGTCCTGAACTCAGAATTAGTAGGGGTTTCCATATGGCAGCCTGCAATATGTCAGAGTGATCCCTCAGCTGGCATCAGTACCAGAAAGGGATTAGGAACAAAAGCTAATTCATTCAGTTTTTCTCTTTACAGGTGAAGGGAAAAAAAAAATGTTAAGAACTGCAGGAAAGGAAAAGAAAGCAGAACTATTCCCTTAAATTTTAAAGATTCTGGAAGCTCGTAGGATCCCCCTCAAACCACAGAGCTCTTGTGGGTACAGCTGAGCTTCACGCTTGCACATTAACTGTGTTCAAAACAAAGGGATTATACAAAGTGCTTAGCTCAAAACAAATAGTCTGAAGTTCTCCAACAGTTGATCTTTTTAATGTCCCACAAGCAGGACGACTAAACTGCCTCTAGTGAAATCAGTCAAGTCCCCTCACCCTCACACCACCTCAAGAAAGGTTGTTTAAGGCACTTAGCAAACACAGACAGTATGCGAACTGAAATACAACTCCCCAGACAATTTTGATCGCATACCAGAAGTTCATCCATGCTCGTCTGACACTTCTCAAGATTGATCCGTTTAATTGCCACCTTCTCCTTCTTTGGAGCGCAGAAGGCTGCCTGCACCACCGCAGTCGCTCCACTCCCTGTGGGTGAAAAAGATAGATGGTTAGCAACATCTTATGGGACTTCAGCAGAATGGAAGGGAGGTCAGACAACAAAATTACGAGTGTCAGTTAGTAAAGACAGAGGAGCCAGGTGAAAACCCAGTGAGGGCAACCCCACAGGCACTCCCCACTCCACGTCTGTGCAACTCAGCGGGCAGCTCAACTGCAACATCGAAGTACTGGGCTAACCGAATGAAAACAAGTGGATCTTTATGATCCCCTGCAGGATTCTGTAGACAAAAAAAAACCCCACCCAGACTCCAGCTTACTTCTAACAGAGAGTGATTCTTCTCATGTGCTTTTAAAAGAAAGGCCACTGAGGTCACACAGACGTCTAACCTGATGTGCTCACCCAAACTGTTGAAACAAGCCACACACTTTGCTACCAACACTAATGAGATTTTTCAAATATTTTAATGTACTAATTGCTGTTCTCGTCTCTCCTCATTTTATGCAAAGACACGAGGTAGGCTTCATTCAAGCCTGTTCAGCTCCAGTTCTCACATAGTAGCACACCGCCTCCGTGTCCGGGTTGAAAACCACAGCCAGAGAATGTTTAAACTCTAATAGGGAAAAAATATCGCATTTTAATCTACAGTTGTTCAAACTGCTAGATGTAGGGATAAGAGTTCTGGATTTCAACTGCTCAGCAATATCATATCCTTCGATATCAAAAGGAGTTTGCAACAGTGAGACTTAAAATCTAGTTGATGTTAAGCCCATATTTGTTGGCCTCCAGAAATAGTTACAACATTCACGTCTCATCAATAGGACACCTTGTTGCTTTACTTTCTACCTTCATCTTGCCGCATTTACGTGCTTCACTGGAAAGGAATAAATTCAAATTAATAAAAAAGGGGGTAGAATAGGTGGAAAATAGCTCAAGAGCTTCCTATTGCCAATACCTAAAAAAATGCTATTAAAAATAAACGCACAGCTATTTTGTTCATTATCCCAGGCATAACTCTTGAGCCCATTTGGGTTGATGAGGGAGATTAGAACAGCTATTCTGCATTTTGGAATAGCACACCTATTTTACCAGAGTCTCCTACTCTTAATGCTATAAAAACTGCTTCCAGATTCTGCAATACAGGTCAAGCACATTTTTGCAACCTATTTTTTTTCTAGTACATTCAGATAAACTGGGGGCAAAAGCTTTCAATCTCGTCTTCGAACAAAGGCTACGGAAGCTCCCTACAACCACCATCAATAGTCTTCTCGCAGCAAGTTGCGCCAAGTCACAGTCAAACTCAAATAAAGTGCCAGGTGGGGGAAAGAGCTTGAAATCCAGCCCTGAAAGATACAGGAAAAACTGCTCCATCCAAAGTCACACTGAAATAAATTACAAAGCTCTGAACTGTGGGACTCTGCTCCTCTAATCTTCAACCAGTACCTGCTACAGTAGAGCTACAGGAGTTTCACTTCACTTTATATGGCATTGCAAGTGTACCCTGGACAACAGCATCAGCTTGACAGTTGATTCCCTGCACTTAAGAGTTTACATTTTGACGTCAGAAGGCAGCAATGTACAGAACACAAAACAGCAAGGTTGCTAAAGCTGTACTATTTCATGAAGCAAATGGGTTTTTAAGAAGTTCAAGACTGAGGCCATTTGTTACTTGCATGCATATTATTTTTCAGAGACTGTTCATAGCACAGAGCAAAACAAAGCTACCAGGAGCAGCTTAGGTGGAAGAAAGGGATAGCAATAGGGGCAATAATATTTACAAGGGACTCTGAAAACAAAGTTTGAGTGCCATAAGCAGGGTCTTGGGCAAAGGATGGAGATGATGGAAGAGTCTAGGCAGACATTTAACATAAGGCACTCAGAAAAAGCAAGGGGAGGAGGTTTTGACAGCCGAGCTTGGCTAGACTGCCAGGAGCAGAGCTGAAATACACAATGTTAAGCAAGGGACAAACATCCCAAAAGCAAACCTCCACATACACTCCCCGTGGTCTCTTTGCCCAGCAGGTAGCAGGTGCAGGACTCCAACCCAAAAGCAGCAGTCCCAGCACAGACATATTCCCACCCACCACGAATCCTGGATTGAACTGACCTCCTCCCCTCCACCCAGTACCTGCTTCTCTAAACTTTTCTGCTGCTTCTTTGAGGGAAAAAAAGTGAAAATACACAAAGTGACTCAAGATAAAGACAGCAGAGCATACAGAACTGGTGACAAAAGGCAGGAGAAGTGAGTTTACGTTTCCTAGCACCGCTGGTCTCCCTACAGCAAAAGCCTTTTGAAAGTCAGAACAAAAACCAAACACTTGTGCCTGTATCATTCCTTTGGAAAGAGTTAGATCCCAGAAGAAACGTTGCTGCTGACACGTTCAAAGCACCAGTATTATGATTTCTTTCTTTGGATGTCTTGGTGCATAGCAATAGAGGCTGAAAACACAAGCCAGATGCTGTAAGAATATACGACTGTGCACCTCAGAGACTGTCTTGTCACACAACCCTTTTCACTCTTCAGTTAGTTTTTCGGTGCATATTTTCATCTCTAAAGCTACCTGCACAGTCCTCATCAACACAAGAGTGTCTGTGCTCAAAGACTCTTTCTGGGTATCTCAGACACTCAATAGCGTCAGCATACACCTGCTTCACCCCACAACATGATGTACTGGGATTTCTGTGCCAGTTAAACCCAGTTAAGCGTTAAGTGTGACTGGCAGAGATGCTTCTTAGAATCCAGACGCGATACCACTACTGTAGACCAAATCTTTCACGAGATGACAGTGAAGTCCAGGGTTTTATAGAAGTGACTACACAAAGAATGGCTTTGTGTGGTGGTTTGGTTTTTTGTTGTTTTTTGTTTTTGTTTTTGTTTTTTTTTTTAAGATGTTGCTACCAGAAACAATAGATTCAGACTAATTAAAAGCAGGATCATGCATGCTACAGCTCCTTCCCAGTCCTCGAGCCTGCCTGATCAATGCTCACTCGGACTTCAGGGCAAGAACTGCTTCTCACTAAGTGTTTGGACAATGCCCCAGCCTACAGGGACACGATCTGTTATGGGTGTATGGCATTATTTGAACAGTAATGAAATCCCAAACTAAATCCTTCTGGGCACATGGCAGGGAATCATCCAAACTCGAGACTCCTCCCATTTAATTCCCTGCTGCTCCTACTTCTCTGGCAGCTCTCTTCAGTTCGATCACCACCTGCTCTCCCCGCTCTCCCCGCTCCCCCCTCTCCCACTAATTCGTCATTTCTTTCAGCTCCTCTGTAGCACTTAATTATAGAGAAACAATGAAATCTCAAAAGCGTATCAAGCAAGGATTAAGCCAAGCTGCAGCACGATGTGCCACAAGCAAGCTGCTCTTTGGTAGCAGCAGCGGCGTGCCGTGCTTCTGGGACCGAACAAAGACGGGTTTCCATGCTTCTTTGAAGAGTACAGAAAACATAGCAACACAGCCACTTCAGGCTTTGCAGCCATACAATTTGTTTATGAAATTCCAGGGTGGCAAGAGAAGGAAAGGAGAGAAACTGCAGCAAGGATGCTGAACACATTGCTAAGTGAAAACAAGCATAGATAGAGATGACAACACCGATGGAGAGAAAAAGAAAAAGCCTGGCAAGGAAGTTTTTTAAAGTTTAGGAGTGGGTAACAAATATACGGGGAAAGGTAGGGAGAGAAGTGATTTCCCTGGCTGCTATGAACCATCTTCAATGAGAAAAAAAAAAAACACAAGGGCAGTTTGTGCTAGGGTGGCACAACTTAGGCAAACCAACTCTCCCAGCAGACACAAATCTGTTGCGATCAGAGCCAACTGCAGTCCTGCGCTGCTCAGCTGCAACGACATGGGCAGCACTGGGTTAATGTTCCTGTGCTCAGTTCACGGTTGCTCCCTACCTCAAGACACTCTGATCAAGGTCAATGCTGAGGCTCTTCCCTCTGTGCCTCCCTCAAGATCAGCTTTCGGAGAAAATTTGCTCCCTAGTTAATCTCTTCCAGCATAACGGCTTAGCAAAACAATGAAAACTGGGCACGGCCAAATGCTTGCTGCTTTATTCCTGAAAAGCAGGAGATCATTTTGTTGAGGGCTGGGGGGGAGGAAAGAGACCCCGAGTGGGTATTACAATCTGTTTAATACCCCCTGCTTTCGCCTCTGTGGCTCTCAGATACAGTTCCAACCCTTCGGATAGCAGCTGCAAAATTCCTGCATAAGAGGGTCACGACCTGCTTTAGGAAACACTGCATAAGGAGGAAAACATACCCTTTCTAACCCTTGCTTCTTTCATGTTTTTATGATTAAAGGTTCTTTCTGAAATAAAACCAACCTCTGAAAGGATGAAAACAACCCAAACCAAAAACTTCCCAAGCGCTCAGTTACTGAAGCCTGATTTCCCAGGGTATCTCCTCTGGTCCTCCAGATCCGTGCTCCTCCAGAGCTCCAGCCTGAACTTCTTAGGTTGAGACAAACTCCCCACAGAAGTCCACTGCCAGCCTTCAAGGGAGGCCAGACACCATCTCTTCTGCAGTCACTTGCTGTCACATAACTTACATGAAGCTTACTTTAAAAAAAAAAAAAAAATACAAACAAAAAGACCCCGCAAAAAAAAAAAAAAAAAACCCACCCAAAAAACAAACCAAAAAACCCATCAACCTCCGAGATCTCTGTTAAAGTTGATGGAAACCAATGATTTCAAGGCTATTTGGAGGAATGGAAAGACAGGGAACTGACCTGAGGACATAGCATGTTCATATACACTTTGTTTCCAAAGATAACTGAATCTTTGCAGCCACATAAGGACATTGCAGCTCTCCCAGTAAGACTGGGATGAATTGCACTGATGCCTCCTCCCAGGCGAAAGCAATTGAAGCCAGAGGTCCTTTTGGCAGAGATATCTGCTTAAGCAATGGGAACAGTCATGCCAAGCGGTCACAAGACAGACACCAAATTCTGGCTCTAGAACAGTATTCCCCCACCATGTGCAATGGCAATTTAAGGTAGCTACACAGAAAAAGCGCCCACAAAACAGTGTTGCCCAAGTTTTAACTCCATCCCGCTACTGGAAACTGAGTTTCAGGTACCCTGAGAGATGTGAAAACTTCCCTTCAAGGTAACTCAGCTGCTCACACAGCTGTTTGCAATCAACAGGGGACATCCTCCATAACAGTCTTGGTGCATCAGTCTTTATCTTAATGTGGTATCAAATCCCCTCCATAGAGGAAATACGCACTTCCAGGGTCAAATGAATGTTACAAGCAATTTAGGTTGGAAGGAACCTCTGGAGGCCTCTAGTCTGCTCTCCTGCTTCTACTGAAAGCAGGGCCAAATCCCAAGTTAGATCAGGTTCCTCAGCATCAAATTCAGCCTAATTTTGAGTATCTTTAACAGTAGATACTTCTACAACCTTTTTAGCTGTTCCTGTGTTTGACCACCCGCATGGTAAAGCTTTTCTTCACCTCAGTATCTAATCAGATTTCCCAACATTGCTCACAACTATGGCCTTTCACCATGCACCTGTGTAGAGTCCAGCTTCATTTCTTCCATAACTTCCCACTAGATAGCTGGGACAGCAACAACATCCCCCCTTAGCTCACTCTTCTAGGGCTGAAGAAACCCAGCTCTCCCAGCCTGCCCCTGTAAGTCACGTTCTCAAGTCTCCTTCAGCATTAGACCATGCTCAGCTGAACACCTCTGCACAACCCTGCCCTCTCCTTTCACCATTCCCCAGCACACACACAAGCTCTCTATTTTTAAGCGAGATCTGGAATCCATCCTCCGCTATCTGGAGTGCAGTGCCAGAAAGCCGCTCGTGACGCAGGCTCTGTTTATAATTGTGCTCCCGGGTTT